GATGGATATACAATATTTAAAAAAAATCAAAACTATAGTAACTTACGTGTTGTTACAAAGTGAATTAACTTCGAAAACATGAGCGTAAATGTTTTGGAATAAGTGTAAATGAGAATAAAATAGAATAATGAGAATAAAATAGAATAATGAGAATAAAATAGAATAATGAGAATAAAATAGAATAATGAGAATAAAATAGAATAATTAGAATAAGATAATATTTTTGTAAATTTATACTTAGTAAAAATAGCTCATTGTATTTTCATTCTGCCGATGGATATACAATATTTAAAAAAATCAAAACTGTAGTAACTTACGTGTTGTTACAAAGTGAATTAAATCCGAAAGCATGAGCGTAAATGTTTTGGAATGAGTGTTGATGTCTTATGAATTAGCAATAGTGAAAACGGACGTTTATATAGCTTGTCGAAAAATCCCTCTTCCGGTCGGATCACTTCCTTTTTATTTATCAATAACAACATACTTTTTGTCATATATTTTAAAAGCCATGCTTGAGAAGGAATAGAAATGATCAGATGAATTTTTCTAAAATTTTTTCATACTTGGACTCTTATAAATTTATTTAAAAATTTAAAAAGTAATTTTAATGTTGCAATTTAATGATTAATCTCTCTCTAAAAAATGAACTTTTAGTATAAATGTAATAATACTCCATCATTCTTACGAGAATACCTTGCGTATTACTTTTGTGAATGCTTAATCAATATTTGCTGCCTGCAAAGTATAAAATATTAATCTAAAATTGAAAAGTTTTGCAAGAAATTTGAAAAGAAAAGTAATGTTGTAGTTAAGTGATATCATGCAATAATTTCTTTATAAGCAATGTTACTATTCGTATAACAATGATATTCATCAGTTGCAGAGAGCACTCTAAATTCGTTTAAATTAACAGTCTACTAAATTATTACGTATTTTGAAGCACAAAATGTTACAGCACATATTACAACTTATTACTGTAATTTGAATAATATTTGTAGACGTTTATCATGCTTCGGTTTAAACGATTGGTTTCTAAATAATGAGCTTTATTTTGCATTTTATTTTCATACGTGTGAGGACAAAGCCCAAATAAATAAATCAATAAATAAATAAGTAAACAAATGAAATTTGTTTATTTATTTATAAAATAAATGAATAAATAAATAAATAAGTAAACAAATGAATTTTGTTTATTTATTTATAAAATAAATGAATAAATAAATAAATAATTAAATAAAATAAATAAATAAATAAATAAATGAATAAATAAATAAATAAATAAATAAAATAAATAAATAAAAAAATTAAAATAAAAAGTTAAATAAATAAATAAAATAAGATAAATAAAATAAAAAGTTCAGTTTTGCAAAAAATTTCAAAAGAAAAGAAATGTTACAGTTAAAGTGATATTTCTTTACAAAAAATAAGCAATGTTCATATAATAGTCATATTCATCAGTTTCAGAGAGCATTGTACATTCGTTTAAATTCACAGTCTACTCAATTATTATGTATTTTGAAGCACAAAATGTCATATCATATGCAACTTATTACTCTAATTTGAATATTATTTGTCGACGATTATTATGCTTCGATTTAAACGATTAGTATTTTTCCAAATAATGAACTTAATTTAGCATTTTATTTTCATATGTGTGACGAGAGAGCCCAAATAAATAAAATAAATAAAATAAATAAAATATATAAAATATAATAAATAAAGTAAAATAAATAAATGAAATAAAATAAATAAAATTAAATAAATAAATGAAATAAAATAAATAAAATTAAATAAATAAAATTAAATAGATAAAATTAAATAAATAAAATAAATAATTAAAATAAATAAATAAAATAAAATAAATGAAGAAAAAATAAATAAAATAAATAAATGAAATAAAAAGTTCAGTTTTGCGAAGAGAAAATTAATGCTACAGTTAAAATCATATTTCGTTTTAAAAAATAAGCAATGTTACTGTTCAGATAATAATCATATTCATCAGTTGCAGAGAGTATTCTACAATTGTTCTAATTTAAAGTTACTGAATTATTATGTATTTTGAAGCACAAAATGTTATAGCTTACACAACTTATTACTATAATTTGAATAATATTCGTAGACGATTATCATGCTTCGATTCAAACAATTAGTCTTTTTCCAACTAATGAGTTTTATTTAGAACTTTATTTTCATGTGTGTGACGACTGAGCCCACATAAATAAATAAATAAATAAATAAAATAAATTAATAAATAAAGTAAATAAAATGAAATAAGTAAATATAAAATCAAAATAAATAAATAAAATAAATGAAATAAAATAAATAAAATAAATGAAAAGAAGTTCAGTTTTGCAAAAAATCTGAAAAGAAAAGAATTGTTATAGTTAAAGTGATATATCCTTATAAAAATTAAGCAATGTTACCGTTCATATCTTGGCCAATGAATATGTTTTTAATCTTCGTAAACCAAGGTTCGTATAATAATCATATTCATGAGTTGCAGAGAGCATTCTACATTCGTTTAAATTAACAGTCTACTCAATTTTTACGTATTTTGAAGCACAAAATGCTATAGCACCTTTCACAACTTATTACTATAATTTAAATGATAACCGTAGACTCTTATCATGCTTCGATTTAAACGGTTGGTCTTTTTCTAAATAATGAGTTTTATTTTGCATTTTATTTTTATATGTGTGACGACAGAGCGTAAATAAATAAATAAATAAATAAAATAAATTAATAAATGAAATAAATAAAATGAAATAAGTAAGTAAAAAAATCAAAATAAATAAGTAAAATAAATGAAATAAAATAAATAAAAGAAGTGGAAAGAAGTTCAGTTTTGCAAAAAATCTGAAAAGAAAAGAATTATTATAGTTAAAGTGATATTTCCTTATAAAAATTAAGCAATGTTACCTTTCATATCTTGGCCAAAAGAATATGTTTTTAATCTTTGTATACCAAGCTTCGTATAATAATCATATTCATCAGTTTCAGAGAGCATTCTACATTCGTTTAAATTTACAGTCTACTCAATTATTATGTATTTTGAAGCACAAAATGTTATAGCATATACAAATTATTACTATAATTTAAATAATACTTGTAGACGATTATCATGCTTTGATTTAAACGATTAATCTTTTGCTAAATAATGAGCTTTATGTAGCATTTTACTTCGATATGTGTGACGACAGAGCGCAAATAAATAAATAAATAAATAAATAAATAAATAAATAAATAAATGAATAAAACAAGAGATCTCATTCTNAAAATAAAATAAGTAAAACAAAATAATTAAATAAAATAAAATAAAATAAAGTAAAATAAAATAAATAAAATAAATAAAATAAATAAAATAAATAAAATAAATAAAATAAAATAAAATAAAATAAAATAAATAAAATAAAATAAATAAAGTAAAATAAAATAAATAAAGTAAAATAAAATGAATAAAGTAAAATAAATAAAATGAATAATTTAAAAAAATAAATCAATTTAATATATAAATAAAATAAAAATTTGTAAAAAATTTGAAAAGAAAAGAAATTTTATACTTACAATGATATTTCTTAATAAAAAATAAGCAATGTTACTGCTCTCATAATAATCATATTCATCAGTTGCAGAGAGCATTCTACATTCGATTAAATTTGCAGTCAAAACGTATTTTGAAGCACAAAATGTTATAGCCCATACAACTTATTACTATAATTTGAATAATATTTGTAGACGATTATCATGCTTCGATTTAAACGATTAGTTTTTTTATAAATAATAAGATTTATTTCGAATTTTATTTTCCTATGTGTGACGACGGAGCACAAATAAATAAATAAATAAATAGGTGAATAATTAAATAAATAAATAAATGAAATAAATGAAATAAAAAAAGATAAAATAAAATAAAAAAATAAAAATAAAATAAAATAAAAAAAATATATCAATAGATAAATATATATGTAAATAAAATAAATAAATAAAATAAATAAAATAAAATAAGCAAAATTAATAAAATAAACAAAATTATAAAAATAAAACAAAATAAAATAAATAAAATAAAATAAATGAAATAAATAAAATAAATAAAATAAATAAAATAAATAAAATAAAATGATACATTCTGTTCTGCAAAAAATTTGAAAAGAAAAGTAATGTCATAGTTCAAGTGATATTTCTCTGTAAAAATTAATCAATGTTACTGCTCCTATCTTGGCCAAAAGATTAAGTATCTAATCTTCGTATGCAAAGGCTCGTATAATAACCATATTCATTAATTGCACAGAGCATTATACATTCGTTCAAATTTACAGTCTACTAAATTTTTATGTATTTTGAAGCCCAAAATGTTCTAGCTTATACTATTTGTAAGCATAATTTTAATAATATTTGTGGACGATTATTTTGCTTCGATTTAAATGATTAGTTTTTTTTTTAAATAATTAGCTTTATTTAGAACTTTCTTTTCATATGTGTGACGACAGTGCTCACATAAATAAATAAATAAATAAAATAGAAAATAATATAAAATAAAATAAATAAAATAAAACAAACTAAAATAAATAAAATAAATAAGATAAAACAAACTAAAATAAATAAAATAAAACAAAATAAATAAAATTAATAAAACAAAGCAAACTAAAATAAATAAAATAAAATAAAATAAAATAAATAAAATGAAATGAAACGTTCTGTTTTGCAAAAAAATTGAAGAGAAAAGTAAGGTCATAATTCAAGTGATATTTCTTTATAAAAATTAAGCAATGTTACTGTTCCTATCTTGGCCAAAAGAATAAGTATCTAATCTTCGTATGCCAAGGTTCGTACAATAACTATATTCATTAATTGCATAGAGCATTGTACATTCGTTCAAATTTACAGTCTACTCGATTTTTATTTATTTTGAGGCACAAAATGTTCCAGCTTATACTATTTATTACCATAATTTGAATAATATTTGTAGACGATTATCATGCTTCGATTTAAATTATTAGTCTTTTTCTAAATAATGAGCTTTATTTAGAACACTCTTTTCATATGTGTGACGACATAGCCTAAATAAAAAAATAAAATAAATAAAGTAAAATGAAATAAAATGAGATGAAATGAAATAAAATAAAATAAAATAAATAAATAAAAAATAAATAAGTACATAAGCAAGTAAATAAGTAAATAAATAAAAAAATAAGTGAAAAAAAAGTAAAAAAAAATAAATAAATTAAAATTAAATAAAACAAGTAAAACAAAATAAATAAAATAAACATATAAAATAAAATAAATAAATAAAAAAAATAAAATAAAATAAAAAAAGTAAAATAAATAAATAAAATAAATAAATAAAATAAATAAAATAAAATAAAAAAAGTAAAATAAATAAATAAAATAAAAC